TTCCCAATTCTTCTCTGAGGTCATTCCTGTGGACCCTGATGGCTCCAATGCTTGGTCAGCATCTCCTCATTTCAAACACAGGGATATTCATGGTCTGTTCATTCTTACTCATCTTGTCCTAAGATTTAGCCCATGTCTCTCCCTGGTGTCTATCTCTGGTTTTCCACAAATGTGTCTTCTCTCAGCATCCATTTCTCAGAGATCAGGAAGCTGAGTCATCTCTGTAAGACACTCTCCTCTCTCCTGAACAATCCAGCAAACTCTCCCTGCACTAGTTTCAGGCTAAATTCTCCCCGTGTGGCTCACCAGAAGCAGGTGGCAGTCCAAGTGTTGCCAGAGCCCTCATACTTTTCTGTGCCTCCCTTGAAATGGCTCTCCCAAGACTACCTGGGATCATTTCCCTTTTCCATCCTGCTGGTGGATCACAGGTCTCCCCTTGGTGGATCACATATCTCCCACCCAGCCTTGGGCAGGTGAGCATCTCAGATGCAGACAGAGACACACAGGCTCCCTTTGTGTTTGATGGGAAGAATAAGGCAGCTCCAGTGAGCAATTCATCTCACTCCACAGGGAGTGTTCAGAGGATGGGGATGAATGGTTTCTGTGGGTGCCCATTGTCTCACACTGACTGTAGAGACAGCTGAGACACTCAGGTACCACTGGCTGTCCAGCTGTGAACGTAAAGTTACCAGAGCCAAACATCATCCGTGGTGATGCCATAAGTACCTCAAAATTCTGTGTCCCTCCCCAAGGAAGCACTCCTGGATGCCAGCAGAAGGGATGGTTATTAACACCTGAGTTCCCTTTGTGGGGCCTGGCATTCAAAAATTTCTAAAGATGGGCTGGGTGCTGTCATGCCCACCCCTCTGCCTGGCTCTGATCCCACCCAGCAACTCTCAGGGACAGCCAGTAAATAGTTCCAGTTTTGGCTCTACTCGAGTACGAGTCCAGATGCTGACCAGCAAGATCAGGTGTTCAAGGCCAGGCTGGAGAGGGTTTGGAGAAACCTGGTCTAGTGGAAGGTGCCCCTGCCCAGGGCAGGGTGTTGGTACAAGATGGTCTTTAAGGTCCCTTCCAACCCAAACCATTCCATGTTTCTATGATCTCTGGAGTATTTGATGAGATGTCTCTGGCAGCATGGCAGGATTTCTTCCCATCTTGTACTTTGTGCCAACCTCAGTAGGTCCCAACTGCTTTGCCCTGTGCATGTCCAATCCCTGCTCCAGCTGAGCATTTTTGTCAGAAGACCAAAACTTTCTTTAGAACAAAACACAACTTGTGAGAAATTAGAAAGGCATCTAAAAGAGGAAAGAGCAGGAGAGTGCTTAGATAAAACCCAACTTTTTTTTTAATGCAGTATAAATAGCAAAGAACCTGGAGTCACCACGTTTGTCTATAAAAAACACATTAGCAGAGACCCTGTGCTGAACACACCCAGTACCTGACAGCCTGAACCAACTGAAGGTTCACCCCAGATGAAGGTCCAGTGCCACCAAACAATTCCACTTTCTTCTTCCCCTACCTTTAAGGACAAGAGTGCCTCAACATCATGCATTCTAATCTGGAGTGTCATGAGATTGCTCATGCAGAGCAAGTTAAACCCTCATTGAATCCATGCTGGATTTGATCTAAAACACTGATCTGAACCCTCATGCCAGGTGTGAACGGTCTGCCCTGAATCCTCACTCAGAGGACATCAGTTCTTGGTGTGACTGGCCTTGCATCCACAAACTGAGGAAACTCATGTCCAAACTGATCAGAGAGAGACCCTCTGCATTGCTTTATAAGTGACCCCAAATCTTCCAAAGGTTGGGCTGAGGTAGGAGGAGACTTCTTCCCCTATGATGCTGCAAGAAGACATTCCCTCTGCACCAGCTCCTCAGCAGCTCAGCTGCAAGGTGGGGAATTCAGTGGTGACCTCAGTGAGGAAGTCCGGTCATGGTGCAAAATGCAGCATCAGTCCTGGGTAGACCAACTCCTCAGCAGAAGCAAAATATTATTTTACTCCCTTCCTTGCTCAACAACCTGCAAAGTGGTTGGAGTCCAGAAATGGGATTTACCCCGGCTCTCCTGACCATCCAATGTTCCCCACATCTCTCACAATGCTGATTCAAGCTCTCATAGCAACCTCCATAGGTTCTTCTGAACAACAGCTCAGCCAGTCACTGCCTTGTTTGGGACAGGTGTATGCCCAGGGGCTGGAGCAGGCTGAGAGCTGAGCCTGACTTTATCCACAGATTCATTGCAAGGAAGTTGTCCACTGAACACAAATTCTGCAGAATATCGTTTTCTTTTCTTCCATTTCCATCCACTCACTGCTCCTCACAGCCATCTCTGGATACAGCCAGGCTTCAATGAGGCTTCAGAGGATGTCCATCCTGTTTGTAGTGGTCACCAGAAATACTGCAGCACACCAGTGAGTTCCTGTAGGCATCCTGCACAGTGTGCCTGGGGGTGAAAATCCACAACAGGGAAGACCCTCTGAGCTGCCCAAGTCCCTCTCCAATGGTGTCATGTTGGGCCCAGAGCAAACTGGATGGTGGCACTGAGACTTTTTTGAGAGTTGTCCACATATCCAGTGAGATAGGGACAGTCAACACGATCTACTCTGGCATACTGCAACAAGCAATGCCAATGCTCCAGTGTCATGGACATCCCCTGGTTTCACCATACCCCCTCTGGCATGGCCAACCCATGGCTCAGCTCCTGCAGCATTCCATTCTCACCTCAAGATCTTTTGGATGGGCACCATGTGACTGGCACAGGGCAAGGGACAGTGAAGAAAATTGCCCTTCAGCCATCAAGTGCCCTCCTCTTCCCCTGTCTCCAGCCTTGGCACGTGGCACTGCTGCCAGCTGCACCCTGGCTGCTCCAATGCCACGCCCAGCACCTCCAGCACTCAGAGAACTCCCAGACACATCAAATTCCTCTTCCAGGTTCCAACAGTCTCCCGGCTCCTGCTCCTACATCCTCATGCCAGCCGTGCTACTGCTGACCATGCAGGCAGTCCTCATATAGACCCCTACTGAGCCCCTGACTTGGGATGGAGCAAGTGTGTGGCACTGCCAGGTGGGCATGGAGCACACCTGTGGCACTATGGGGTGGGCATGGAGTACATGTGGCACTGGTGGACAAAGCAGGAGCACATGAATGGCACTGCCAGATGGGCATGGAGCACATAGGTGGCACCATTGGGCAGACTGGGACCACATGTATGGCATTGACGGACAGACAGAAAACACAGGTATGGCAGTGATGGACAGACTGGGAGCATGCAGGTCACTGATGGACAGGGAGCACGAGTATGGGACAGACGGACAGATGGAACACACGTGTGGCACTCAAGGACAGACTGGGACCACACGTGTGGCAGTGATGGACAGACAAGGCACCGGTGTGGTGGCACCAAGAGACAGACCAGAAGCAGAAACGTGGCACCATTGGGTGGGCACGGAGCATGGATGTGGCACTAATGGACAGACCAGGAGAACATATGTGGCATTGATGGACAGACAGGGAACACATATGACACCGACAGACAGAAGAAGAGCACACACATGACACTGCTGAGTGGGCATGGAACATGCATGTGGCACTGATGGACAGAGCAGGAGCACACCTATGGCACTGATATGTGCCCAGCACGTGCGTGGGACCACGGAACAGACCGGCAGCATATGTGTGGCATTGATGGGCAGACCAGGAGCACACGCGTGGCGCTGCCAGGTGGGCACGGAGCACACATGTGACACCGATGGACAGACCGCGAGCACACGCGTGGCATCACCAGCATCTCGGCACATGCGTGTGAGCGCCGGGCAGAGCCCGAGCCGCAGCCGCCGGCCGGGACGGGCCGCCCCACCTCACCCCCCCGGGGCCCGCCGTGGCCGCCCTCGCCTCCGCCCCCTCGGGGCCGGAGCATCGGGACCGTGTCCCGACCCCCCCCGCTCGCCCCGCAGCGGCGGCGCTCGGTCCCGCCGCGGGACAGCCGCGGCTGCGGGGCGCGAGGCGGATGCGGAGGGCGGGGGAGCGGAGCGAGGCACCGGGGCCGGGGTCCGGCCTTTGTCTCCCGCTCCAGGGGCCGGCAGGACCGCGGCTGCCCCGGGGCCGGGCTTGGGGCGGGGTGCGGCTCTCCCGGTCCGGCGGGACAAGCCGCAGCCGCTCCGGTCAACCGAGGGCGCTGCGGGGCGATCCCGGTCCTCGCGGCGGGTGGCGGACCCCCCCCTCTTCACCTTCCCACCGCCGCTCCCGCTGCCCCCGCGGCTCCTCCC